TTGTAACTTCATTCAAGTGTTTTCAAGAGAGGTCAGAATAGATGTTTTCATTGAAATATGATACTCGACATTTTTCGTTATTACAGTACTTAACTTTACTTCATAAAAAGAAATAAAAATTCTCCAGTAAAGTTTTATTTTCAATTTTAAGCAGCTTAAGTGCTTGATCTTATTTTATAATCCCTTTTAGACCTTTATTCATTACTAATAAATTTATATATATATATAACAATAATTAACTAATGTGTATTACCAATACCTAATTTAAAAAAATGAATTAGTAAAAACTTTTTAAATATGCAATAACATTTATGCAAGAAAATAATAAAAAAAAATTATCTTCACAAACAAACCTCAGGCCATGCGAGATTGTTTTAAGTATCTGAACTGTAATGTACTGTCAAAAGTCTTTAATCTGGACCCATCGGGACTTCGGCGAATCCAGATTATCAGTTTTTCCGGATTATAGATCATCAGTTTAAATCTGGTAAGACGGCTTGCAGAAATTATAAAATTAAAAATATGAAACCGTAATTTATGAAATAAAGAGCAATTATGATCTAAAGGGTATCAAAATTTACAAAAAAAAAGCTCAATATTTATTTGTTTACTTTATTAAACATTTCTTTCAACGCGCACATGCGTAAAGCATACATTACGCATAGTCGAAATTAGAAAATTGCAACCAGACCATTTGATGTGTATTCTTGATATTTATAATGACAAGGAATTTGATTTAAATCATATCAAAGACGGGGTACATCAAGATGAAATACTACATGTAGTGAGGAATTATAAGCCAAATAAAATAAAAGCATCTGCCCTGAAGATAAGGATAGTGCTGACAGATCAACTTCCAGTTCATTGCGTGCTGCGGCGTCACCCCCCCCCTCCCGCAGAGCAGCGTGAAATTGATAAACAAATTTCGGAATGGTTAGAGAAACAAAGGATATGCCTTTATCCATTTTTTTGCAGTAATTCCACTTTTTGTTTGATGGACATTGAAACATGCTTTCGCTTTGTAGATCCTTTGGCAGCTCCAGAATCGGAAATTCTTTTTGACATAATCGAAAGTTCAAGCTTACTTTTGTAAAATTGCTCTAACAGTCTACAAAAAATAAAAGCCGAATCCAATGAGAAGATTAAGGAACAACACAATCTGCAACATTAACTGAAATAGATAATTAGATAATTTTAACTTAGGTTATACCGTCCGTTATACATTAAACGTGCATGCGTAAAGGTATTATGCGCATGTGTAAAAACATTACGCATGCGCAAAAAGTTTCTAGCTTTGAGTTCTGTATTATGGAAATCCAGATTAAAGACTTTTGACTGTATTTGGACTCGTATTAAGGAAAAAATTTGAAATGAAGAAAATATAAATTAATATTAGTTAATTATAAGTAATTCAACAGTGGTCATATCATCAGTGGAATGATTTTTTTTTTTAATTATAAAAATGACTAAAAAAATTTTTTTAAGCAAATGTTTTGGAATAAAAATGTTTGTTAAGAGCTTATAGAGTTTGATTTTGGTAGCATAAACTGGTGTCAGATTCCTGACATACCTAGAACAAATTATCACGGGTGTGAAGTAACAATAGAATCTTAAAAAGGTTCAAAGAACCTTTTTATTAAAATAGAACTTGAACATAAATGCACATCTTGTTCTTACAAATCAGCTACCACTTGTGGTTATGTAACTAAAAGCAACAGTCAATTTCAAAAGTTAAACTAAGTCTGAGACATGAACAATTGATTTAATACAAAGTTAGCTCACAACATCTGACCTTGCTCACCCCTTCTCTCTCTTTAAATGTTGGTAGCAATAACACACAGCCAAAGAATTACAGTGGTATCAGAACTGACGAACCTAGTAGCATGCCCTCGAAAGGCAGAAGCATGGTGTGTATTAACATCCCAAACCCTCAACTTAAGTATTCTCCAACTGATTTGCATTCTGGCAAGGAACTGGAAAGGAGAAGTAATAGCCACATCTGTCTATGAATGTCATCTTTGTATCTATGCAGTCAACATTCCAGCATCATTTCATTTAAGTCTACAACATTATATATGCATGTAATGAGATGATTTGGGAATAGCTGCAATGGACTGGCTATGGTAATAACTTGGAGAGATCTTACTGCATATTTAGAAGGATGGCACTTGAAGACAGACAAGGCCATAAATTCTACTCATAAATTTATTTCTAGATGGCTAATTCTTAGGACACATATTCTTGTTTACACATCATTATAGGTGCGGTATGCACCCCACAGTTTTGTATACTTTAGCACATGTTTAAACAATGAATGAAATAGAGCAGCAGACAATGCGTATCATAGGAAGCAGCGAGTAAAGCAGGAAAAGAAAGGCTGCATTATAGTAGCAGTAATATTTATATATATACATTCATACACATATTAAAAACAATTTTGTTAATTTTTAGCTTTAACATGAAAATTTGGTAGTACAGTACAAAGTCCGAAATCCAGACTTGGGATTTTTCCGGATAGTAGATCATCAGTTGAAATTTAGTAAGATGGCACGTAGAAATTATAAAATTAAAAATATGAAATCGTGATTTATGAAATAATGAAGTATTTATGATCTAAAGGGTATCAAATAAAAAAAGCTTAATATTTATTTGTTTACTTTATTAAAAATTTCTTTTAATGTAAGTTGTTTAAGTTGCTTCGCTTTTTATGCTAATACTTTCTCCTTAATTCTGTAGACAGACATAATCTCTTTTTTAGTTACATTGCTGAAGTCTGTAACTGCTGTTTCGAGAATTTCGACTAACTTGTCAATCAAAATTTTCTCATTTTCAGTAACTTCTTTGTCACTTTCTTCACTATGGGTAGCGGTATTTCCTGGATCTAGAACCATACTACAGATTTCGCCATTCATTAATTGATTGATGATTGAGAAGCATTGTCATCGCAATGAAAAACTTCATTTATATCATCTTCATTTATTACCACTTCTCCAGATTTCTTTACAAAATCCTTTAATTGAAAAATTTCACCTTTGTTTTGTGATATCCGAAAACCTTTAAAATTAGCGGCATCATCATCAAATTTAGCTATCCTTCACTATACATATTTGGCTATGCATCATGAGCTCGGTGACTAACGACAAGTTCCACTAAATTTTATCTCGCTTCTATTGCGCACCGAGACAGTTAAGCCTGAATTGTATTAGTTTAGTTATTTGTTATACTCTTATGTATATTTCTTGCACATGCTTAAGGCTTATTAGAGTTCTGAATAAATAAATTCCCACATATACTTAAGCCTTATTGAGGGCCGGTGCTAGATATCTTACCTCCTGATGCAGTCTCTGTGGGTCCTAAATTCTGCGACTCCGTGTGGCCATACGAGCCCTGGAGCTGGTTCTGGTTTTATTTGAATAACAGATCAATTATTCTTAATTCAAATAGTCCTAAATGTAATCTTTGGGTCTATGAGTGTCATCATCAACAAAATCTATTTTTAGCATATGGAAAGAAATTTTTGGTAAATTTTTCCTCGTCAACATTTTTTAATGCATTTATCTGAAATCTGTAATCATCGCCAAGTGTAATGTCAACATAAAAGGTTACCACATTCCTTTATTATTCAATTACTAACGTAAAAAAAAAAAGAAAAGAAAAAAAAAAAATGTTTAGCATCGCTACATGAGTCATTACTCAAGTTGTCATGTTTTGATAAACATTTGTTGATGACAGGAAAGTATAATAAATAATGATTTGCCAGGTTGGTGTCATGTCAATGATGTATCTATGTGGAATGTTTTGGTGTGGGCCAAAAAGTAGATACACACATAGCAATGGAGCCAAATTACTGATTGCACAAATTAAAGCTAAAATGTTTGTTTATTTAATAATAAGGCATTTTATTTAGTGTCGAAGTGAAATTAAGAATAGGTACTCTCCAAATGTTTTATTATGTGCAGAGGGGGGAAATAAATGTGTATGCGTAAAACTTAGGAGAAGAATGTTGGTGGTTTTGAGGTCCGGATTTTAGATCATTCCAGATAATGGATGTTTGGACTTTCTACTTTCTACTGTAGTAAAAGTAGTTTAAATTTACATCTCTGACAAACATTTGTGCATATAAAGCTATTGTTAACTAATTGTATTGACATGAAAATTTTAAATTTATCTTAAAGGAGCTGTAAACCTTTTTCAAGAAAAAGGAATTTTACAATTCTAATATAAACTGAAAAATAAATGTAATCATGAAATGAACCTTTTTCTTGCCTGATGGTATTTATTGGCAAGGGGAGGCATAACACAAATACCAGTTTTAGATCATCTCAGTTCCCTTTTTTCCAGCTTTGATGTTCCTATATTCTTGCGGTGAAGAACTGCTTTCATGAAGTACTTTGGAAACAGTGCCAAGTGAAGCATTTTGGAATTCATTGCATGACAGAGTTAGAAGCAGCTGATTTGAACACATTATAGTTAATTTTAATTTCTGTTTCAGAGGTCCAGAAATCCTCACACTTGCACAAAAGATTGAATGACTGTGGGAAACTGCAAAACAAAGATATGTAGTTGAGCAACTGTACTTATGTCTCACTACTGGAGCTATCTTTAAGCATTAGGTTTTATTAAACTCATAATTATTATCAAAACATATGAAGTACTTAGCATTTTGAAGTTAAGTTTATTTATTTATTTATTTTTTTGTAGTATCTAGCATTTAAGTTAGGTGTGTTTCTTATTTTTCTGTTTTAAATATTAAGAGGAAAAATTATTATCTAAGAAACATAATCTCTTAAGTATAATAAATCTTTAATTCTTCATATATTTCTGTGTGTAATCATAATTTCTGGGGAAGACTGCATGAAATATTCAAAAGTTCGCCCCTTACCTGGAATGTTACTCTGATTCAAACTGGAATATTAATTTGTGGCAGTTTGTTTTTTGTGTATTTTAATTTTGTAAATTTCTGTAAAAGTTGTAATATTTATGATTTTATTTATTTTCAGGAGATAATAGTTGCAGCTTCAGAAACTCATTTCCCTGAGTTAATACATGAACACCCTGAATTAGAATTGATAAAGTGTCAGGTTTGTATCTGAAGATTTTTTCTCCCTAATTTTTTTCCCCTTACTGTAGTAATATCATGCAGTGATTTCATTTGTAAAGCAGTCTTTATGAATTTTTTGAATTGGTTTATAAATCACAGAATAACTATTTTTAAAAATTAGTTTTAAGATATTTTAATTGAAAATGAAGAGAGTTTCTGTATAAACTTTTCTGAAAGAATTAAATTAACAAGCGTTTGGTTTAAAAAACAAGTGTGGAGTTACTGTTAACTGGAACATTTAAAAACTGAGCATAAGGCAAACTTGATTAGAAATTGTGTTCATTTGCAACTGCGCTTTATTTTCATATCCCTTATTGATATTAGCCCTCCGAGCATTAGGGATTAGCCATGAAATTTCAAAGTTCCTCAGAATGTTCTGAATAAATGGTATTTTCTTGATTATAATTAAAAAATGACTCTTTCACTTTCTTTGATTCCTTTTCTTCCAATATTCATCCAACCTGAAATTTGATACATTAAAAGTGGGCAGAAATTTTCATGTGTAATGATTATGAGAGCCACCCTTCTATATGGAATTTTCCGTCCATAACACTGAGAGGGTTAGAAACATCTGTAGTTTAGTTTTCCCACTTTTTGTGCCCTGTAACTTTGCTGCAATCATTGGCTTTGCTGCAATCATTACCATGCCAAGAGGTTATAAGTTGTGTATTATCTATATGATTTGGAAAATAGCCATTTTTCAGTGGTATTTTCCATGAAGTTAAAACTAAAAATTGCATAATTGACTGACTTAAAAGCAAAATATGTATATTTTTATTTATTTTATATTTTAATAATACCTTTAACTGATGTATTGGGAATACGAATAAGTTTCCGCCATTTTGGAATGGGCCATATGGGGGGGGGAATGTAAAAGTAGGGTATAGCATGTTGTTACTACCTATGTCATAGGCAAAATATCCAGATATTTTTCATTTGATTTTAAACAAAAATAAGTATGTAAAAATAAAAATGTCTTACTTAAAAAGGCATTTAATAAAGGTTTCAAAAGAATAAAATGCTTATTTAAACTCGGATATAATAAAAGATGAATGACTATTTATGTATAAAAAAAATCAATAAAGTTTAACGTCATTTATCTGAGGGGCAATTAATAAACTGTAAGTACAAAATTTGCAATAAGATATCAGTACCTGAATTATGTAATCAAATTACATGAACCCATGAACCCCAAAAAAAACTCATGTTAATAATAAAAAAACTATTTATTATAAAAAACAATAAAAAAAATGCTCTTACCTGTGGAAAAGTCAATTAATTGCTTCGGGCAACGCAGCAATTAATAAATTTAGTGATTAAGGATTGTACTGTGATTGTTCCTTGGTGCCGGCAATGTTCTTTGTGGAAGCGTATAACGTAATTATTTAATGACGGTAAATACGATTGTGGGATTTAACTATTGTGAAAGTACATTGTAAAAGGGACAAATACAGATTACATTTGAAAGATTAACATTAAAAACAAGTAACCAGCTACTTACAGACGGGGCATATAACATCTGGCATTTATTTACTGCAAACCTTTTTGTTATCAACGGACTTTACATAAAAGGTAAAGTCCCAGCATAATGGTGAACTTTACTAAATCTTCCTGTTGGCTATGGTACTCTTTCTGGCTTTGTTATCAAGGACTCTTTACGATGCAAAAAATAAGCATTCTCGCATGCTGAAATCTAAAATGGGGGGTAAATTTACAGGCCAGTTAGGCTGATTTATTTAGAGTACACGTCTCAATAATGTTTATCAAAAGTATTTTCAATTGACTAGTGTGAAATGCAAATTCTGCTTCATATTCCTGTACTGCAAACGTGATATCAATTCTCTTACAACAGGAACAAAAAATGTATCAAAAGACCAATACATTTCTTGAGGTAAAGAAATCCTGAAAAATATTCCAATAAATCTTTTCGTATAGGCTTCAGATGCAATATATATATATTTTTTTCTGAGCGTATATATTTGTCTGTTCAACGAGAAGAGAGTAAATGTCTAAACCAAAAAGAAAATCGAAAATCTGTGCTCTAGTTTTACCTTGTGTTTTGTCTTTTATAATTTCTCTTCCATATCTTTCTTCATGTTCTTCCTGAGACGTAACTAACAGTTCCTTTTTTATCCACTTCAAGATTTCAGTCTTCTGCTTTTTATACTTTTTAGTATGATTATAACTGCTTTTAGAAGGCTGAAACTTACTTCTTACGTGAATTTCAACTTCCCCAGCAGTATCATTTGGTAAAATATCATTATTTAAAACATTGCCATTCCTTTCTTCTTCGTCACTAGCCTCTGCAATTTCTGGGGGAACAACAATATCAGTTTCATTCTGGTCATTATTAACATTATCATCATCTGTTTCTTCATCAAAAAATCTTTGAAGGGCTTCTTCTAATGTAAGATACCTCGTTCTAGGCATTTTTAAACAACCAGAACATCGAAAGGAATGAGTGAAAAAGGAGATTGACTACCCGTTTCCTGCTGACGTTGCGTCAACGCAACACCTGTTTTCCCTTCCTTCCCAACACAAATATAAACATCTGACTGATGTAATGTTCTGATAAACGGTGACCTTGACTAAAAATAGATCACTCATAAAGACGGCGATTCTTTCGTTAAATATTTTCAGCAAAAATACCCGGTCGAAAATTTTGCTTAATTTTGCTTAAAGTATGAGAATTAATTATTATAAACAAAATTGTTGAAGGCAAATATTTTTTACAGAAAGATCTTCAATATTCCTACACAAAATCATCTGTATAAATATCTTGTGTAGTTATATTTATATACGCATTATTTGACTGTTGCGTCACGCAACACCAGCGGCTAATGGGTTTAAAAATGATGCATTTAAAAAATGTATCGCCCTAATGTACAAAATAACACTTTAATTAACACAGTCACAAATTAATGAATGTTACACACTAATAAATCACAAAGGAATATTACAAACCGATATTAAAAGGAAAAAAATATCACCCTAAATTATTTTAATTCATCTTTTAATTGATCCTGCAAGGAAAGCCAAAAAATGACAGACTGTTAAAAAAGCCCAAACATTAAAAATAATTTCAGTTTTCATTGGTACAACTTGTTTTGTTTTACATGTTCATATAAGGATAAACTTTTATTAATTATAACCAAAGTTGGACATTAGTCACTTAATATATAGTGGATTAATTTTTGGATTGTAATGTTAATTGCCTTCTAATAGAGAGGAATTTTTCATAAGTATTTTAAACATTTTTGAAAAAGGATGTGTAATACATAATTTGTAATGTGCTATTTTTTAATTCAGTACGCACATTTAAGAAGGTGCAAATTCTCCAGAAGTTTCATTACAGATTTAATTTCTATTAAGCAGGATTGAAATTGTGTGAAATTCAATAGGAATAACATTTCAGATAAAAAATAATAACTATAAATTATTTCTTTGTTAATTTTCTTGTTATTTTTAGCAATCCAGATGCCTTTTGAAGTATGATTGGAAACCTGAATATTTCCCTCTTGGTGATCCTGTTAAGAGATTAGAATTATCTCATTTAAGTTATTTTCTAGATGAACCTGTTGTGATAAAGGTTAGTATTTTTAAACAAGTTATAATAACTGTGTAAACGAATATGCAGAAATAACAGAGAAGCTTATTAACGCTCTGAAAATATTTAATTGTATTTGTGTAAAACACATACTACAAACTTCCAAAAAATATTTCCTAAAACAATTTATTATTGTTCCTAAAAAAGCATCCTGCAAATTTATGTGAGTGAATTAAAATAATTTTTAAATTATATTTTTATTCATAAGGTACTATGGGAAGAGCAGGGATTTTCCAGAAGTATCTGATCTTGCTTCCTTTTATATGAAAAGATTGTAGTATGAAAGATTTAAATATTTTTATAACTGACCAATTTGGCATTATTTGCCAAATTATAATATCTTCAATCAGTTATATGTGAAAAAATATTGTACCCTATTTAAGTCAAAAAATTTTGTACATATGTAAAACCAGAATTATCCAAAAGAAAGGGAGTTGTGTTCCATAATGACAATGTGCAGCCGCACACATCTTTGATGACTTGGAGCAAACTGACAGAGCTTGGTTGGGAAGTTTTGATGCATCCACCATATAGCCCGGACCTTGCTCTGTTTGACTGCCATTTGTTTCGGTCTCTGCAAAACTCTTTTGATGGTAAAAAATTGGCTGACTGAAGCACTGTTGAAAATCACTTGGCCAAGTTTTTCAAAGATAATCCACAGAAGTTCTACACTGATGGAATCATGAAGCTACCCGAAAAATTGCAAAAGGTCATAGATAATAATCATCAATATGTATTTGATTAAAATTGATATTCATTAAAGAAATTTTTGTTAAAAAATGTACCAAAAAAAGCACAGAGACTTTTTATATGACCCAATATCTACATTTCAATGCACATGAAAGTGCAATGCCCTTTGGTTAAATGAAGGATGAACAATTGCAGGGAAAGAGTAAATTAGAGATGTTACCATTTACTAAAACTGTAATGTTGATAAGATTAAGAATAGACAAAATGAAATAATAAGTTGCTTCAGATCAGAAAGTTATGGGAAAAGCATAATTTGCTGTGCTAACTGGATTTAGGTTCTTTAAAATCTTTATTCTTTTTCACTTCCCTGTTGTTATGCCAATAAAAGATAATTAGTTTGAGTAACACCCCTCTTCAAATAAGCAGTTTCTTGGTGCTTTATTTATTGTTTAGGTGAGGTAGAAGAATTCTAACCTCCCAACCACTCAAAGGGCTGAGAGTGTGATTTTGGTTAATCTCAATATAATATAAATCAATATAATCGAACTGTGTGAATCAAGGTTCCCCTCTTCTGCTTGCCTACGGCCCAACTGCACAAATAAAGGTTCTCGCCTTTGCCTGCCAGGGGAATTTAATGACTTTATTCCACAGAAGATCTCTTCCTTTCAAAAAGCTGAGGGTTACCATTAAATTTTACATGTTGAAGCCAACGGGAAAGGAAAAAAAATATTTGTTTTGTATGCACAATTTTTACAATATCTGATAAATGAAAATAGAGGTTTGCAGTCTCAATCAAATGTCCTGTTCATAAGGATAAATGACAATTTGTAGCAGCCATCTTGTTGAGAATTCAGGTTCTTAGAAAGAGAGAAGAGGATAAACAAAGTAGCGCAGTTTGCATATTTTCTTTGATCTATTGTAGGGTAGTTGGTCTTTAGATAAGGAGGGAGGATCTTCAATTAAATTTTATGCAGTTCATGACTTACCATGTAGATCAGTATATTGCCATTGTTGACAATGTGATTCCTTAGCCATCAGGTTATTTGAAAGTGCCGTACAGGAATGCCAGTTGAGAGAAAAATCACTTTTATAATACACCTGCTTTTTCTCTAGTATTTATTCTTCATTCCTAGACTTTGATAAAGAATTTTTTTATTATTATTTTGCTTGTGGTCCAGAGATTGGGTAATTCTGGATATTGGACATCATAATTTCAAGCATTGCACTGCATATATATTTATCTGTAAGAAATGAAATATGAGTAAAGTCCCCCTTTTTTGTGTGTATATATATTATGTATTATTTAGTACCCTCCTTTTAATTTACCCAATGGTTATTCTGGTTTCTTAATCAAGATTTCTTTTTATAATTTTTTTCCCAGGGTCATATAGAAGCAGATTATATCTTGATGATTAATTATATTAAAAAAGTTTTAAAAGTTTTACTTTGCTGCACTTTTAAAAGACTACTTTTTATTTTGCAACTTCCAAATACTCATAACCACTCTGATATAATTCAGAAACATTGCTGTGTTGAAAATTCTTTGAGTTAATAAAATTTTAACACCATTTTTAATATTTAATATATTATATTAGTTATATTAAAATATAACATAATAAATTATGTTATTATAAAGAAAATGTTAACATTTTCAATATTATGTTTTATTATGCTAATATATATTTTTGTTTTAGTTTTGATACATGTACTTCCAATCAGATGGTTGACAATTTTTTTTTATTTAATTATTATCTTTTGATTACATATAGGAATTTAAAATTGGAGATGAAGAAATGCAGAAAAATATTCTTCATAGAGTAGCTGCTTGGAATGAAATTAAAAGTGATTATTTAGTCAAGATAAAAGCTTTATTGATTAAGGTGAGATTCAAGTTTACATTTTTTTTTATTTGAGCAACAGTTTCAGTGAGAGCTATTTGATCTGTCCTCTAACAGTTTGTGAGATTAGATTATTAGGTCTAGGTAATGCTAAGTGATACTGTATGATAGATTCTGTACCAAGATTAGCACATTTCATACCATTTTCTAAACTGTTTTCTTTGTCTTGCTCAAATTCTCCCCCTTTTTATTGACTTTAAGGTATAAAAATCAAGAAGGGAAAATTATGTGAATAGTTTAATTTTTAAAGGATACGGTTGCAGTAAGATGAATAATAAATGGTAAGATGATGGTAAATTAAAATTACTCTTAAGTAATCTGCTGGTAACTATTACGATATTATTTATTTAAAAGAAACCTAGATTCCAACAAGAATGCACAGTCACATTACAGTATGTAATTTCTAATACCTTGTATCCTGAATCTTGCCTGCTTATGCCACAGATCATCTAATTGTACTGGAACTACTATTTATGCCATCTGCTACAGATGACAACTCATTTCTTCATCATCATTCAGGCTGTCTTTCCATGTGCATTGATCTTCAGAACCATCAAGAGCATTAGATATTGTTTTTTTTTTTTTTTTTTTTTTTTTAGCTTTTCACTATTATTTCTTCATCAGTTGGAGCCCATGCACCGAAAATCCATGAGTAATCAGTTAGTAAGATGAAAACAATCAGAGCACTGATGAATCGTATTTTTAAAATTTAGATGAGCTCACTTTCTGAGTGCCTCGAAAAAGAGAAAAATTTTTTAAAAAATTTCAGAACCTTGCAAGTAAATGTAGTACAAAATTTAAAAATGTTAATGTCTAGTAATATGACATCACACATCAATAAATAATAATGAACTAATATGAAAATACTATTCTTTGTTATTTTGTTGCATATGTGTGTTAATTCCTCCCCTTTATTTGCAGATCTCATACTAACACATTGCGAAAAATAATATAAAAGATTTATTTTTAATATTCAACATTGATATTAACTTTTATCTATGAAAACATGAAGTATAGTTTGCATGTATTATCATCTGATGTCAAAGATCCAAAGCTCCGATCATTCTTCAATAATGGAAAAGTTGATGTAAAAAGATAAATAGTTGATTATAGACCATATGTTAAAAAGATAGGGTAAAATAATATAAACTTTCATTAACTGATGCATTCTTTAATCAAATAATGTAGTGAATGATGATAGCATCCAGAAAATTTCTTGTTGATCATGAGGCTTAAATGAAACAGGAGGTCCGATTATGTTGCCAAAAAATAGTTTGAGAGTTGACTTTTTCTGTGTACTGCTGCAAAGTGATGCAGAACATTTTATCTGAGTTCTGCACATGTTAGAATATTCTGAGATACAGTGTAGTGTCTCTCTTTCTTCTAGTCTGAGATACAGCATAGTTTCTTCTTCTGTTCTTTATTTGTAAATAAAGTTAAAATTTATTGAAATTGATTGTGTCATGAATGCACCAATTTTTGATTCCAGTTAATACATTATTCTGGAATGAAAATGAAGAGCAATAAAGCAAGGAGCACCACACAGTCACCGATAAAAGCTTCAATACATGATTGTGCATTTCTGCATCATATATAAAATGAGAGGTGATATGTGAGATTTCTGCTTGATGAACTTCTAGAAATGCAAGCAACGATCAAAGTCTTCATTTTCATGACATGACTGGTTTATAATAGAAACTGTATATGTAGAGACAAAGTTGCATGAAAATAAGTGAAAATTTTATGTAGAAACATTAAAAATTGAGTTTGAATACTGTTTTAATGTATTGATATATTAAAAGGGATATTGAATTGTTATTCAATAATTTGTATTATATTAAAATAAATATTTCTTCACAGGATTCAAAAACTATGTGTGCTTTAATGCATAGTCCCTGGAAAACACTTTTAGATGGCTTTACTCCACTTTCTCCTACTGAGTGTGAATCTGCATGTAACTTATTGCGACAAGTACTGCTGGGATTAAGAGATATACATTCCCGAAGATTGGTCCACGGTGCTATTCATCCTTTGACAATTCTTATTGAAGATAACAGGATTTTACTAGATATTTGCTTTGATGCAGTAAGCTTCTTAAATTTTATTTTGTGTGTAAATTTGTATAATAAAATATATTATGCGTAATATATATAATAGAATAATTGCAGTATGCAGGAAATTCTTTCTCACTCATTTTTTTTTACACAGTTTATGTGTCCATCTAACATGGATTAAATGGCATCTTTTTAAAAATTCCATTTGAGTTCGATTCTAGATAGGTATTCACACTAAATGTAATATTTAAAGTAAAATACAGTCAAAAGTCGTTAATCCGGACTCGTCGGGACTTCGGCGATTCCGGATTATCGATTTTTCCGGATTATAGATCATCAGTTTAAATCTCGTAAGATGGCATGCAGAAATTCTAAAATTAAAAATATGAAACCGTAATTTATGAAATAAAGAACAATTATGATCTAAAGGGTATCAAAATTTGCAAAAAGAAAAAGCTTAATATTTATTTGTTTACTTTATTAAACATTTCTTTCAATGTAAGTTGTTTAAGTTTTGCTTCATTTCATGTGATAATACTTTCTCTTTAATTCTATTAAACAGACATAATTTCTTGTTCAGTTACAAAGTTCCGCTGTTCAAGTCCTATAATTGCTGTCAAGAACACCGACTAATTTGTCAATCGAAATTTTTTTGTTTTCAATAACCTCTGTCACTTTTCTTCGCTATCGGAAGCGAATTATAATGACGAGGAACTTGTTTTAAATCATATCAAAGACGGAGCATATCGAGATGAAATACTACATTTGGTAAGGAATTATAAGCCAAATAAAATAAAAACATCTGCGCTGAAGATAAGGATAGTGCTGACAAATCAACTTCCAATTCATTAGGCGCCCGCCGCCGAGCAGCGTGAAATTGATATAACAGATTTCGGATTTCAAAACATACTTTCGCTTTAGATCCTTTACATATTAACAAATATATATCGGAAATTCTATTGATATAATCGAAAGTTTAAGCTTACTTTTATAAAATTGCTCTTACAGTCTGCAAAAAATAATAAGCCGGATGCAATTCGAAAATTAAGGAACAAGGCAATCATCAACATTAACTGAAATAGATAATTAGATAATTTTAGCTTATACGTCCATTATACATAAAATGCGCACGCGAAAAAGTATTCTGCACTTGCGCACACTCATATGCGCAGTCGTAAAAGGTCTTATGCGCACGCGTGAACGCCTCTGCGCATGTGTCAACGTGGCACATGCGCAGAAAGTTTTTTGTTTTGATGTCCGGATTATAGATCATTCCGAATTATGGGTGTCCGAATTAACGACTTTTGACTGTATTGTGTTTTTAGACTCTTCAAAGCATTTTTTCCCATTAGAAACATGTGTTTTGGGGAATCAAATCCTCAAAATAAAAAAAAAGTTATGCTAGCATTAATCTGTAACAAGTTATTTTATTTTTGTACTGCAAAGGCAATATTTATTATTTCTCCTTTCTTTGCAAAAACTTTACATTTAACTAGTCTTTTTAAACACATTTGAAAAAGGGGGGTTGATGATGAATGAATAAAATGTAGCAAAAATACTTTAATTTAAATTGGAATGTATATAAGGAAAAATATATACAAAATCTGTTTCATTCAGAGTGCAGAATTGCCAACTCTCCCGATTTTCAACCACTCTCCCGCCAACCTGATTTACAATATATTTCTCCAGACTTTTTCTTATTCTTAAAATTTCTCACGATTTTTATGGAACTTGGCTTAATACTTCATTATATGAAAAAAAAAAAAAAAAAAAAAAGTGATTTTGGACGTCTGAAAGCAATTGAATTTTTTCTAGATTATATCTAAAACAAAACTTTGCGAATCAGATGAAAATTTCTGCTTTGTGAGTGAGAGCATACATATCCAGAAACGTTGTTCTCCAGTTCTCCAATGGGCATCGAGCTCCACTGCATGTCATCTAGCATATATCGGCCAATGAGCACAAAGCAAGCTCAAAGCTGTTAGTTGTATGTTCTTTAGTTATTTCGTTCATCCTGCCCTGAGTTGTGTGAGTACACGTGCCTTCGGGAAATAGTTTTAGAAATTATCATCTTTTATTATGTCTGTGAGAAAGGTGAAATACTTGTGTACGTTTCAAAAATCTTACACAGTTGACTTTCTTTCCATTATTTCCTCAAGGAAATGCAATAAATTTGCAATGTGTATCATCTGTCGTTGCGATTTTTGAATTTCGCATGGTGGAAGGGCGGATGTTCTCAAACATGTGCGTACACAAAGACGCACATGTTTGAAAAGAAATGAAAAATTAAATTTTTCTTCGGAAACAAAGGACCGAAAAGTTATTATTGCAGAATGTCTATTCTCTGCCTTTTTACTGGAGCACAACCTGACACTAAATGCATCGGATCACGCTGCAGTTTTATTTAGAAAAATTTTCCCGATAGTGAAATCGCTAAGAAATACTCAAGTGCAAGGACCAAAACAGGTGCAATTGTTAAAGAAATGGGTTTCAAAAATAAATCTTTAGTTATTGATTGCATTAAAACAGCTCCATTCTGCCTCTTTACGAATGGAAGCAATAATACCGATTCAAAACTGTATCCAGTTGTTGTTTCTTTTTTTAATCCAGAGTCTTCAGAAATTGAGTGAAGTTTACTTTCTGTCCCCACTTTAGAAGGACGTTCGACAGGCTTTAATATAGCTCAGCTAATTATTAAAACTTTAAAAAGAAATGCTGTCCCTCTGGATAATTTGCTTAGCACTTGGTGCCGATAATTCCAATGTTTTATAACTTTTTCATCAACATAGTCTTATCTGGACATGGTCCTTTCCCCACGTACTACTTTGCACGAAATTTGAGCGACTCAGACAAGTGCGTATGTGGGGAAAAGGGAGACCCAGAATACTATATTTTCAAGTGCCAGCTCACAAAAGAGCTACACTGCAAAGGAAGGTCACAAATTACGCCTGAGTACATTAAATGCATGCTAACGATCCCTCAATTACAACAAAAGGTTTCCTTGATTATGAAGAAACTTTTCGCTTATAAAAGAGAAGACATGTCAAAATGCTATCACATCTGTATAAATACCTCTTATTCCACAACTTGCAAAAATAATGCAAGATTTCAGAAATATTGCAAATGTCTGAAACAGGCTAAATGTGGTATGAATAGTTTTTATAAAATAGTTACATTAAGAATTTGGACTGTATTAGGAGATGAGGGAAAAAATCTTGTAATAATTAAATGATTAATTAAAAAATAATATACGACTCTATTAGATATATTAGTGTAAATGTAAGTATTATGTGATTTTCTAATGTATATTTTCTGTATTTATGATACATTAATTTAGAAAAATAATAATGTAAGACTTCAGTGCTGATGCAGTTGTGTGCAACAAGTTAAAGAATGAAAGGAAATGTATTAATAAGATAATTTGCCTTAGTAATTCAACTAAGTATAATAAGATGCACAAAATAAAAAAAAAAAAAATAATTAAAAAAAAAATCTTCCCCAATTAGTTGGAAAAAGATGCCCAAAAAGATGTTTATTGTAATTCGATGTAACTAGAGATACTAATGCAAATATATTGTTTGTATGAAGTACAATATACAATGAAAGTTTGTATGTATGTTCGAAGTAATTATGTTAGATTAATCTGCCATAATCCAACTTTTGTTAATAGGTTAATTTCTTTGTAATAATTGCATACTGTGTCTTTGTAATTGTATATTCAATAGGTAACTCTAGTATTAATGTAAAATTACTATGTAAATGTCTTGGTAGGCTAGCATCCGATGCGGGCCAACTAAAAGCCCATCGGGGTACAGTAGTGCGGCGGAGCAACACCTGTAAAAGTCACTGACGAAGTTCTGGTGCTCCGTCCACTTTTCCCTGTCCCTGTTGCAGGCATCTTAAGAAAAGAAAATTCAGATTTGCAGATTATGAGGTGCACCTGTCACCTCTTAAATTTAGCAGCTGAAAAAGGGGCAGCTTCTATACCAATAAATGTGGATAAACACATTGTTGTTATTTATTATTATCTTGAAAGGAGTTCTAAAAGGAAGGAAAAATTGAAACAGTTCCCAATAACTAATATTAGTGATGACACATTAGAAAAACTTTTATTAGCAAAAGCAGGCCTACATGGCAATTGCTATGAACAAAATTATGAAGTTTCTTTCTTAACAAAAGCAAAATCTGCCACTGTTCATAACATTTGTATGAAAACTGATAAAAGTGTCCTTTTTTTTTTTTTTTTTTTTTTTTTTTTTTTTTTTTTTTTTTAAATGATGCAAGTAATAAAAATGTTTTTTATGTGTAAGGTATTTTTGTGTTGCTTGCATTTAAGAATTAGTAACTATTTAAAGTTAATTCGTTTTTAAAAAGTCTTTTTAACATTGTGAAAAATCTCCTGATTTCTTAAAAAAGTCTCCTGATTTTTGAGTGTCATAGGTTGGCAAGTATGAGAGTGAAGTTGCAGAGAGTGCGAACAAAATCTAATTAATAAACATATTTTGCTTAGCTCCCCTGAGTTAAATTTTCTATGTGGAAAATATTATAAGTTTATGAAATAAGAAATGCATTTAAGTCAATAAGACCTAAATTAAGATTTAATGAAATATTTGACTATTATTTTTTGTGTTTAAACAACTTGTAATTTGTTTTTATCTATTTAATATCGATGTTTTTATAAGTAAAATAAGATTTTCGTTTCTTCATATACAATAATTTATTTTTAAGAGCAGATCCGTCCCCCTTTAAAAACAGAATTCATTTTATGCCCTGGCCCCCAGTATTTCCTCCTACACGCATCATAGTTTCCATTATTTTATTGGTTTGTGTGTTTTCAGTCATATGCCGTGTTTACTTGTGTAATAATCCTTCTCGTGTAATAGTTGCACCTCTGTTTTGAAGCAGAAAAGTCATCAAATTATTTTCCCCACATAAAAGATATCCAGATGAAATATTTTCTCCACATAAAAGTCGCAGACACATATTTGACCTTCATCTGGAACAGAGTTTCTTAAACTGTGGCTCGCGACCCCCAACGGAGGTGTCGCTAAAAATTTTAGGAGTTTTGATATTTTTTTAACTTATAACATTAATTTTTCAATTACCAAATATTTTTGCACAGTGTATCTGAAAATGGATAAAAATAAAACACTGCAAACAAAGAAGGAAACGAAAACTTTTTGACGCATTCTTTTCATAATATAAACATTCATTTTTCTTGTTTTGCATGTAACGCTGTCATTTTGTCTATTACTTATTTAAAATTTTCACATTGCTTTATGTCTTAAAATTAGAAATTAAAGTTAATGACCTAATCCTGCAATAGTATATTAAAGTACAAGTGAAAAAGTTGACTGTTACTTATTTAAAATTTTCACATTGCTCTATGTCTTAAAATTAGAAATTAAAGTTAATGACCTAATCCTGCAATAGTATATTAAAGTACAAGTGAAAAAGTTGACAGTTTAACTCACACATGTGTTGGATTTGTGCAATGCTTATGGGGTCCCACAAATTTTTTGTAAATATTTTTGGGTCCGGGGATCGTGAAAAAATCTCGGTGATAAAAAGGGGTAGCGAATGAAAAATGTTTAAGAAGCCCTGATCTAGAAAATAGAAAAATATCAGCTGTACTCTTCCCAGAACTAGCACTCATAATGGATTCATCTGTTTTGTCACTCCCATTGATATTCTCAATGGCCACTCCATAGCGAGATAAGGAATTGCTTGCTTTCCCTGGAAAGAATGGGAAAGCTCCCTGGGCAGGATTTCTTATTCCCCCCATTTTGAAGCTTTAGACTCATTCTTCGTTAAAAAAGTATGTGCATGCTCTAAATTTACTGGGCTGCACATATCTAAAGTTACAGAAAAAGATTCTCTGCCAATATTTTGTTTTGCAATGAACTTTGTGTGTTTTGGACCTCCCTTTTGTTTGCGTGAATATGAGAAAGTTTAAAAAGAATACATTCAAAAGTCGTTAATCCGGACTCGTCGGGACTTCAGCGATTCCGGATTATCGATTTTTCCGGATTATAGATCATCAGTTTAAATCTGGTAAGATGGCATGCAGAAATTATAAAATTAAAAATATGAAACCGTAATTTACGAAATAAAGAACAATTATGATCTAAAGTGTATCAAAATTTACAATTAAAAAAGCGTAATATTTATTTGTTTACTTTATTAAACATTTCTTTCAATGTAAGTTGTTTAAGTTGCTTCGTTTTTCATGTGATAATACATTCTCTTTAATTCTATAAAAACACATAATTTCTTGTTCAGTTACAAAGTTCCGCTGTTCAAGTCCTATAATTGCTGTGTCGAGAATACCGACTAATTTGTCAATCGAAATTTTTTCGTTTTCAATAACCTCTGTCACTTTCTTCACTATCGGAAGCGAATTATAATGACGAGGAATTTGATTTAAATCATATCAAAGACGGAGTACATCGAGATGAAATAATACATTTAGTAAGGAATTATAAGCCAAATAAAATAAAAACATCTGCCCTGAAGATAAGGATAGTGCTGACAGATCAACTTCCAATTCATTGCGCACTGCGGCGTTAAAGATAAACAAACGTTAAAGTTTAGATAAACAACGGATATGCCTTTATCCATCTTTTGCAGCAATTCCTTTTTTTGTTTGATGGACATTGTAACATGCTTTCGCTTTGTAGATCCTTTGATAGCTCCAGAATCGGAAATTCTTTTTGACATAATTGAAAGTTCAAGCTTACTTTTATAAAATTGCTCTAACAGTCTGCAAAAAATAGCAAGCCTGATCCAATTAGAAGATTAAGGAACAATGCAATCTGCAACATTAACTGAATTAGATAATTTTAGCTTAGCTTATACCGTCTGTTATACATTAAATGTGCATTCGTAAACGTATTTTGCACACGCGCGTATTCGCAGCCGTAAAGGTCATGCGCAGAAATTTTGTAGCTTTGAGGTCCGGATTATGGGTGTCCGAATTAACGACTTTTGACTGTAATAGTTATACAGTGGGATTTAAACTGAAGATTATTAAATTTGCTGAAGAGAATAGAAACAGAACTGCTTTAAAGAGAATGGAACATAAGTGAAAAATTAATGAGGGACTAGAGAAAATCCAAACAATCACTACAAGAAACAAATGTGAATATGCGAGCATTCAGAGGATCAAAGTATGGAATTTTCCCAATTATAGAAAATGAACTTCTCTCTTATGGTCATGCATTACAAAATGATAAATGTGTGGTATCTCCAATGCTTTGGACAAAAGCAAAGATGACATTTTATGGAATAATGCAGATTCTTAAAGCACCGATTCACATTACAACAGTGATACTGATACCTTCAATGAAAGTGATTTATTATGAATTTATGTATTGTTATTAGAATTTTATGTCAAAATTTTCATAAAGATTATTTGTGAATTTTATGTGTATAAAAATATTACCATAAAAAGAAAAAGGCCTCTCTTTTTGTGTGCTACTTATGAAAAGACTATTTAATAAACAGCACATAACCTGGAAACATTTGGTAAGTTACTCATTTTATTATAGTGTAGTTTTTATGCCAGTAATGTTTTAGCATTGGAGTGTACAAAACTGTAGTAGATTTCCCCACATAATTGTGACAACTAGACTTTCACAATGAAAAATTGGCAAAAAAGTGCAACTATTATTACACAAGTAAACACAATGTATCATTGATGAAAAAAGAATATATTCTCAGTGTTAAGTAGAAAGTATTGGGAAAATAACTGACATAAACTATAAAGTATTTAATTTATAAAGTATTAAATGTCTTGAAATGTATGTAAATAAAAGAATTGATTTGGGATTAAAAAAAAAAAGCATTCCTGATTGTACAGTAAACATCTAAATTATTTGTATTTAAAACAATTTGAAATCCATTGCAGTAATCCATGTGGCATAACCTAAAAGGGAAATGCAATTTTTCCTAATTTTCTATCAGTTCTCTGAAATACATAGTATACAGAAACCTCTGAAGATTAAGATTTTGGTATTTCACAGTCCCTCATCTTGGTGGAATTTAGAAAATATTTTTTTTTTATTTAAAAAAGCACCTGGAATGTTAAAGCATTTTTCAAATTATTAAAGTCTTAATTACGAATTAGTATTTAACTTCTCATGTATGCTATCTGGCTTGTTTTATATCTTAGATTTTTTTGCATTGGATTTCATCGGAATTTCTTTTTGATTGATATCTTTTGTAATCTAAAACTCTCATAACATAAATAACAGTGCCTTGTCTTTCCTTGCTAAAACTCCATGTGTACAGATTTGATGATGTATATTAAAATTGTAGCATGTATGAAAGAAAGTTATGATTTTACTCAAGATGTTTTTTGTTAAATATGTATTGCAATGAAAGCGAGAGTTTTTTACTCTTACTTTTGTTAAATATGTATTGCAACGAAAACGAGAGTTTTTTTACTCTGGTCAGTGTTATAATGTAAGGCATAGTTATAAGTATATAAAATATATGTTATATCTTAATTGTATAACAATTTCTGAAATGTTTATCATTATAGAGTTCACTAAAAGGTCAGGCAATTCTGAAAGGTATTAATTTTCAATCACCACAATGGGAGGAGATATGTGAGTCAAATGACATGTATGGATTTGGTTGTTTAGTTCTGTGGGTATGTATTAAGTCTGTTTACTAGTGTGTCATAATTATCTATTGATTTTTCCTGTTGTATTAAGAAAATCAGACATTGAATTTAATTACGGAAACTTCATATTTTGCTAAATAAATATGGCAGCTAGTAGTCACAGAACAATATTAAATGATAAAATATATATCATAGAAATTCTTAAAAGGTTATGATTTTCTTGGCCAGACTTCATTATAATTTTAAATCACATGTTAAAATTTTGAAATTTCAGGAGCATCAACTGCATGCATACATCCTTTTTAAATAAAAATAAAATTTTTATGTAAATTAATAAAGCATTTTTTATTTTTTAGTGTGGTTATTCATGAACACACTTAAATCATTCCTGCTGCTCTTGTTTTATATTCATATACTATGTCTGCAGTATGCAAACTAACCTTTCTACAGTATACTGAATTTCCTCCAAACAGAAAGTCAGAATTTTCAGATTAAAAAATTAATAGGAAAAGATTTAAATCAAAAGAAGAACTAGTCTTTATAACAATTTTAAAAAAAATTCCATTCAAGGGAAGAATGGTGAAGTTTTTGGAAAAGAAATCCGACAATTTTTCTTTACATTTAATATATTTGCTTTTCTATATAAAGAACAAACAATAGTGGGACAGCTAAGCTTAATTGAAATATAAAAATTATTTTTAGATAACTGGTTTTTACACAAAAATGTAGTAGTTAGTTTTTCCATACTGAAATCATATGTTAAATTACTTAGTTAATTCATTAGGTATGAACTCTATTATCAGATACATCCCTCCCTTTCCAATGTGAGTTACTATTACACATATTTGTAATGTTGTCATGACCTATATTCTTAATGTCATAAATATGTCTTTTTTATGATAACTATGTAACTTTTTAATAGTAACTATCAGTTCCAAAAATGGCAAGTACACCAGTAAATTTAGGAAATGTAAAAAAAAATTTTTTTTTTTTTTTTTTTTTTTTTTTTTTTTTTTTTTTTGTTGTTAATTTGACTGTTAACACATGGCACACATTTTAAAAAATATGTTTTAATGCACACAATATTTCAAAAATACATTTTTCCTGTGTTACAATGCTAACTGCACTTAGTAGCCAAAGAATTTGGTGTAGACTCATGAATTGTGGTTTCACTTTGCCTATTATTATTCTGTAAAGTTTTTAAGATTTTGATCTTGAATGATTATTGTTAATACATGAACGGTTATGTTTTCATGAAATATGATAGAGTTAAGCTTTTCATAAAATTCTTTTATCGCTCTGTCATTATTTTACAACTGTGGCTTAAGTTTGTTGGATAAGATTGCAAAAGAATTATATTTTATATGTAATTTTGATTTGTGGATTATTTTTAATAGCTCATTATTTCCTCATACTTTAGTGCATAAAGAATAGATCAGTTGAAGGTTTATTTTATTCATTCATTCATTTATTATTTTAAAGGAAAGACTTATTTAAGTAATTATTCTTTTTAAGGTATTAAGTAGTGAAGCTATCTAAGTTACTGTAATACACATTTTGATTTTTATTCACAAAAGTATTTGGTAACTTTCTCATTCTGCTGGGGAGAGTTGAATTCGGAAAATAACTACAGGTATTCTGAATTTCCAGTGCATAATTACTTGTTACCTATAGTTAAGATTAATATTTTGATCTCTCAAAAACACCTGTTTGAGTATTGAAAAAGTAAATGAAAATTAAAAAAAGCAGCTCTGCATTAATTGTGTTAGAGAGAGAATTAATGTACAAGAAATTAGAAAAATTTTGCCCAGTCATTTATTTTGTCAGAGTGAAGTTTTGAGGTTTACAAATATTATTGGCAAAGAATGTGAAGTAGCAAAATAATAGTGTTTTTAATGATGAAGAGAGAAAAAGAAGAACCTCGCTGAAGTTATTGTTTGGTAAGAACTAAATATGTAAAAATAATGTGTGATTTTAGGAACTAATTGTTCGTTTGAATTTAAGTAGGAAATATTTTTGGTAAGGGGAATTCTGTGTCATTCCCCCTGTATTATGAAAATTTCCATTATTTGCAGAATATATATTACCACTGGAAACGTCTGCATGCACATTTTGATTTAATAAAGTAAAGTGTTAAATAATAATTTCACTAAAATGAAAGAAGGAAGTTACTATAAAACACGGTGCCATGAGGACAAAAGTGTTTCCAAGCAAGTGAAATGCTGTAAAGTAAAATGCTTGACATCAAAGATAATAGCTTTAACTATGGAAATCCTATCTGAAGCTACTACATTTTTTTCTATTCATTTGTTGTCTTTTATATCATCTGTGATATTTGTGTTAGTGTTATTCATGCCATTTTAGTTTTTTTGTCTGAAAGATGAGCAGGAACAGAAATTCATATATGGTAAAGTTCAAATTACAGGTGATCATGTTTGATGAAAATTCTAATAACAGTATGGTTGCTTGGATTTTTCTGTAAATGAGAAGCACATTTGAGATGGAGGAAGGGCATGCAAATTTTATCAGTATTAGCCCATTCAGTGCGGGCGTGTCACATGTGCATCAGCAGCGAACATTATCTCACGGCTGGGTGTGTCATATTTGAATCGCCATTTAATTTACTCTACGGGCCGGGTGTACCACATTTGACTTTTTAGATAGAACATTTAATTAATATTTTTTGTTGCTGCTAGATGTAGCTGTATGCCTGGTTATGGGGAAATATATCGAAAGTTAAGTATGTTTACCTTCATTCCTATGTAATGATTTTTATTTTTGGTATTTTGTTTCGGAATGAGAGTGAGATTCGTGGGTGGGTATTGAACAATGTAATGTCTCTTTAACTGCATCATTTGATATAAACAAACGCACATGCTGTCTTTGCATTGAGATACTTTTTATTTTTATTTTTGTGATATAGTGAGATAGACATTCTATCATTAGAGATTTTTTTTTATTACTCTTAGATTTTCTTTATTTTTTATTACTCATAGATTTTTCATGCTTTGAGATGAATATTTTTAATCGTCAACAAAAGGTATCTTTTTTTAATGGCAAACGAAAGCAGTATCTAAACCTAGAATATACACAATTGCTAATTCGTTAGTGTTAAGTAATGTAACGGCTCTTACTGCGTCATTTTATATAAACAAATGAACATGTTCTCGATGCTCTGGAATACTTTTAATTTAATTTATTAATTTTTCTTATTTTTATTTTATTTTTTATCGGTTATAGTGGAATAGATGTTCTATCATTAGAGACTTTTTAAATTACTCTTTGAGTTTTCCCGCATTGAGATGAATATTTTGTTCGCGAAAGGTTTTTTTTTTTTTTTTTTAAATGGTAAAACGAAAGCACTGTCTGACCATAGAACATATATAAATTTGCTGAGTAAAATAGCAGGAGGTATTATATTCCTGTGACTAATGCAACGTTGGACTTTGCGTACACCCATGTTTCAAAGAATATCATACATTGTCTCATTTTGAAACATTGTTTACTTTTCGTTGTTTGCTCGTTGAATTTTTATGAAAGACAGTTTTAATATTTTAAAATTTTAATTGTGTGTTGTGTTAAATAAAATCTGTGATTGTTTGGATATTTTTCCATATATCTTTGTTTGTGGGATAAGGGGAAAATAATATTATTCTAGAATGAGTATTTTATAAAATATTTAAGGAAAATATAATAATGAAGGCTTAAAATTAATTCTGATGAATACCTGAATAATTCTCATAATGTACCCAAAATTGGAAAAATTGGATGACAAATTTCATTTATACGAATTTTCTCCCAAAGTTAGGCTTAGCAGCATAAATTGCCCGTCCCCACAGGATGACACATCTGGTTAACGTGCCATCCTAAGAGAACGCTTCAGTAACAGAGGTGCCCGTCGCAACGCGTTAAGAGTGAGAATACCTGCCATTATCTGGTAACTTAAACCCCAGTACCTTAGTTTTAGAAAAAGTTCCAGAAATTCTCAGCTTATACACAGAAATATGCAGTGCTGTTCAGAAGTATTAATCTAATGCTGTTTTACCCAATACAGATATTATAATTTTAAGAAAGAGCAAGTTGTAATTGCTCCAAAATTTTAGGGAATATTCTAGTTAACGTGCATTCAAAACTGCTCTAAGTCAATAAGTATGTTTTGATGTCTTCACGTTTTTTTTACCTAAAGGTATCTTTTTTTTGGTTTTGTTTTTTGTATTTAACTTATTAGACTGGAATAAATATTTTACTTTTTTTTTTTTTTAACTGCATAGTGCTGATATGAAAATAACATTTTACATAGAGAATCTTTTTCACACAGAGTGTACTGGATAATCATTTGATATAAGCATTTTAGCACATTTGTAATGTCTGTTCTTCCTGAATAATACATTTGTTTTTGTGCAGATGCTTTTCCCAAATCTCCTATTTACAACAACTGATGAAAATGTGCTTAATCTGGTTGCTTTTAAAAGCATAGTAAGTTTTATTTTTTTTTCACATATATGTGTGTATTTTATATTTATTGCTGTAGATTTTGAGCAAGTTTTCAGCAAGTAATTACTTATTTCTATATAGGTTGAACAAATATTATCACCTAAAGATTTTGCATCTCTTGCTGCATTGTTGGATGCTAAAAAGGAGAAAAGGCCATCAGCAGCTAGTCTTGTTAGCAATGGTTTCTTAACAAAATCTAAGTCTTATTGTCGGGTAAAGAATAATAATGCAGTGAAGGAGCAAGCAGTCTGAAATTAAGGTAATGTGTAATTGTTTGCTTTCATTTAATGTTTTTAAAAGTTGGTTGTTCAAAAAGTAGTGAGATTGATTCTGTAGTGCCAAAATGAAATCACTTAGAAAAATGCAGCTGTCGTGTTTGAAACACTTCTGATTTCTGTTGCATGAGGAAATTTATTTTAAAGTTGATTATAGATTAGATTCTATAATTCAATATGAATTGATGAGTGTAGCAAAGGTTAAATCTCATGTTTTGAATGTGGCTGAATAAAACTGCCAGAGAAATATGCAATTTTTTTAGAACAATCTATAATGTTGTTTATAAATTTCCTATTTTATTTTTTAACTACCTTTTTTTTAGATTTTCTAACTTAGTGCATATTTCAAGTTTCCACAGTGCTGCTTGCGGCAATGATATGCTCTTTGAATGCAATGTGTAGTCACTACCTGAATATGAATTAAAATATTTAGATATTTATTCCATTTGCATTATATCATCTCTTCAAGAAGTATGGAAACAGAATGAAAATAAAGTTATTTTAAACTTTGTATGAGTGATGAACTTGACAAAAGATGCACAGATTTCTGCGAAAGTATGAACTGAAATACTTGTATCATGTTTATATGTTTGACACTTGTTTTAACAATCATTCCATTGTAATGACTTGCACAAAAGCCCTCAGGTATTGAGAATATATTAACCACTTATGTTAAAATGATCACTTGTTATACAGTCAAAAGTCATTAATTCGGACACCCATAATCCAGACTTCAAAGCTACAAACTTTCTGCGCATGAGTCATGCGCATACCTTTACGACTGCGAATATGCATGTGCGCATGCGCATAATATGTTTACGCATGCACGTGTAATGTATAACGGACGGTATAAGCTACGCTAAAATTATCTAATTCAGTTAATGTTGCAGATTGCGTTGTTCCTTAATCTTCGAATTGGATCCGACTTAATAACTTTTGGAGACTGTTAGAGCAATTTTATAAAAGTAAGCTTGAACTTTCAATTATTTCAAATAGAATTTCCGATATATATTTACTAATATGTAAAGGATCTACAAAGCGAAAGTACTCTGCGGCAGGGGGGAATGAATTGGAAGTTGATCTGTCAGCACTATCCTTATCTTCATGGCAGATGTTTTTATTTTATTTGGCTTATGTAATGAAATACTAAATGTAGTATTTCATCTCGATGTACTCCGTCTTTGATATGATTTAAAGCAATTATAGGACTTGAACAGCGGAACTTTGTAACTAAACAAGAAATTATGTCTGTTTAATAGAATTAAAGAGAAAGTATTATCACATGAAACAAAGCAACTTAAACAACTTACAATGAAAGAAATGTTTAATAAAGTAAACAAATAAATATCAAGCCTTTTCTTTTTGTAAATTTTGATACCCTTTAGATCATAATTGTTCTTTATTTCATAAATTACGCTTTCATATTTTTAATTTTGTAATTTCTGCATGCCATCTTACCAGATTTAAACTGATGATCTATAATCTGGAAAAATCGATAATCCTGAATCGCCGAAGTCCCGACAAGTCTGGATTAACAACTTTTGTCTGTATTGCCCCCTTTTTTTATTTTTATTTTATTTTGTATAATGCAGGAGGTCATTATAATGATGTCAACTGTAGATCTTAAACCAGCAGTTTGTTACTCATATTTTAACTGGAATAAAAAATTTAATTTACAGATTGGATTAAAATGTAGGGAGGACTGAATGATGCAGTTTGATGTAATTGTTATAAGGATGCTTGAAATGTTTGTTTAAAAAATAATTAGACAAACAAGTATTCTAAGCATGTCCTTAATGTACCTGGTTATTTCTCAATGCCTTTCTTATTCTCCTGTCTTATTAATAGCACTCCCTTCCCCAAATTCTGTCAGTGTCCACTAGTGGGCATATTTGTTCATGCTGAGAAATTGTGTTAATACTTTATTCAACATTAGTGTCTGAGGGAAAAGTACACTGTTAGTTCAGTGTCATTGTGGAAACTGAATCTGTTGAGGCAGACTAGAAGACTAAGGAAGTTGCTAAAAATTCCTTTGGAAATTTTTTTTTAAAGTTATGTTATATATTTAAAAACTGGCTGGAGTTAAGTCGTAATGTCTTATAGTGTCTTGCTTTGCTTATCTGGCAGGTATTCAAAATTTAAGCCTGGAAGTTACAGCACATTCTACAGAGGGTGTTTACACAGTCTTAGAACAATTTCAGTAAAGAATTAGAAAAAAGCAAATTTCTAGAATAAAAGTTTCTCACAACAGCTTTTTATTTGAAATAAGCTATAACACATCTGTTGCTTCTATTCTTTCAGAATGTTGAATATAAACAAGCTGTTGTTTGAAGGATATGTTTTTGTATTTTCCAAAGACAAATAATCCTATTCTGTAATTGAAAAGTATTGTGAAATGCTTGGTACTAAAATTTTGAAGTGCAAAATAAGCAAAATTATTAATCAAAAGGAAAAAAAACCATCAATCATTATTTCTTCTTGGCAAAAATACTCCAAAAACATGCTGTTACTAATGTGTCTAAAGTTGAATCATTTGTAATAAGAGAGAATTTGTTGACCCAGAAATTAGTTGCATATATTTTAATACATCTGTAGCAACAATAAGTGAAATAATAAACCAAGGTTTACAAAAAAAAAAAAAAACATGATGTTCGCCAACTGTTGCTGAGGCATTTGGCTCAGCACAGGAAAATTTGTAGAATCCTATGAAAACTATTTAGCAGGATATGAGTGGAAATACGTAGCAATCCTTGATGAAGCATGGGTTTACCTAAGTGACTGCTACCAAGGAACTATTGTTGAAAAGGAAGAGAAAATATATGTGCAAACCTGGTTCTGGCAATGCAAAGTTTCATTAAGGAGTTTATGATTGTCACAGAATTCTCTTACACTGGGAAATTAAAAATAAGATTAGTGGGAAAAAAATGATAAAATCAACTCAATGTACTATCAAGAGAAAGTTTTACATCTGGTATTTACAGAAAAAATTCCATTTCTTTATCCTTGTGACTTTCAAAGAGTGAAACATCAAGACAGCCATAAGAAAATATTGCATTCCTTGAAAAACTGAAGACTAATACGGTATTGCATATGTATCTTTTCAACATATTCCTGTAAAGCCCATGACGTTTCACCTATGGACTGTTGGGTCTTTGGTCTCCTGGAACGAGCTTTTTCTAAGCTCACCGACCACTATTGGTGAACTCTGGAAAATAGTGGAAGAGCAATGGAAATCTATATCTTCTATACCTCTGAAAATTTTATGAAAAGCCCTTCTATCGTGAAGATAATGATGCAGGTTTACAATTAAAAAAAAAAGCTGTGAGACCAAACATATAAAAAATACTCTTTTCATTTTAAACATTAATTAAATATCTCCGAAATTGTTCTGAAAATCTCTAAATAGTGTCTGTATCTGTTCTACAATTCGTAAAGGGAAAAATCAACTTTATGCTTGCAAATTTGCATTAGTTTTTCAATGAACGATGGGAATCCCAAGTATCATATTACTCTGCATATACATTCTGGCAGTTTATAAATTGTGAAACTATTGTGTTCACTCTGAGAAAGGGGTATTTTAAAAGTATGTAATTGTAGTTGTACTTATGACATTACACTTTTGTCAGTGTAGAAACATTCTCATTACTTTTTGATTGTAACATTGGTGTGTTTCTCTTCTATTCTACTTTTTGAATGTTTGTTTTTATATTTATTTTTCTTTATATTACAGATGAAGGCGTTTATGTTAGTGCCAAAGAACCTGCTTTATTTTTATAAATTTTTATAAATAGTTTAAAAATCAACATTCCATGGACTAAGGTGCCATTCTGAAATTTTTCAAAATCTAGGACTGTGTGTAGGAAATATGCATTTCTAAAATATGCATCACCAAAGGAATATTTTCATGAGATGTGGAGGTACCTAAAGTTATCAAATCAAAAGTTTAATGTATATTCATTCAGTGTTTATTGAAGCTGATCTTTTCTGTGATTTTTTTTTTTTAATATATGCTGTGATTTTTGTCATTTTTGTTTTATAACTTACTACATTTCATAAATGTATATTTTCAATAAATACATAATCTATTTGTATTTGCTGACTGATAGATTTTCTTCTGAGTTGTTTTCCTTTAAGAAAAATTTATTTATAATATTTTGGTTGGTTTATAAGCTCTGTTCTCCCCCTCCCCAAGTGCCGTGAAAATAAGAAATAAATGCAGATATTAGAGTGTAGAGTTGCCAACTCTCTCGATTTAGGCGGGATACTCCCGATTTTCGACCGCTCTCCCGACTTTTTCTTATTCTTAAAATTTCTCACGATTTTTATGGAACTTGGCTTAATACTTTGTTATATGAAAAAAGTGATTTTGGACGTCTGAAAGCAATTAAATTTTATCTAGATTATATCTAAAACAAAACCTTGCGAATCACATGAGAATTTCTGCTTTTGTGAGTGAAAGCATACGTATCCAGAAATGTCATTCTCCAGTTCTTCAATGGGCATCGAGCTCCACTGCGTGTCATCTGGCATATATTAGCCAATGAGCATAAAGAAAGCTCAAGGCTGTTATTTGGATGTTCTTTAGTTATTTTGTTCATCTTGTCCTGAGTTGTGTGAGTACATGTGTCTTTGGGAAATAGTTTTAGAATTTATCATCTTTTGCTATGTCTGCAAGAAAGGTTAAATACGTTTAAAAAATTGTACACAGTTGACTATCCTTCCATTGTTTCCTCAAGGAAATGTAATAAATTTGCGATGTGTGCCATCTGTCGTTGCGATTTTTCGATTTTGCAGGGTGGAAAGGCGGATGTTCTCAAACATGTGCGTACCCAAAAAAGCAAGGGGAAAAAAAAAAAAAAAAAAAAAAAAAAAAAAAAAAACGAAAAATTAAATTTTTTCTTCGGAAACAAAGGACCAAAAAGTTAGACATTAATACAAAATGTCAGAATGTCCATTCTCTGCCTTTTTACTGGAGCACAACCTGCCACTGAATGCATCGGATCACGCTGCAGCGTTATTTAGAAAAATGTTTTCCCGATAGTGAAATTGCTAAGAAATACTTAAGTGCAAGGATCAAAACAGGTGCAATTGTTAAAGAAATGGGTTTGAAAAAAAATGAATCTTCAGTTATTGATTGTGTTAAAACAGCTCCGTTCTGCCTCTCTACGGATGGAAGCAATAATACCGATTCAAAACTGTATCCAATTGTTATTTCTTTTTTTAATCCAGAGTCTTCAGAAATTGAATGCAGTTTACTTTCTGTCCTCACTTTAAAAGGACATTCAACAGGCTTTAATATAGCACAGCTAATTATTAAAACTTTAAAAGAAAATGCAGTCCCTCTGGATAATTGCTTAGCACTTGGTGCCGATAATGCACCAGTAATGGTAGGCTTGAAGACTGGTGTTGCACACATCTTAAGAAAGGCAAATTTAGATTTTCAAATTATGAGCTGCACCTGTCACCTCTTAAATTTAGCAGCTGAAAAAGGGACAGCTTATTTACCTATAAATGTGGATGAACACATTGTTGATATTTATTGTTATCTTGAAAATTCTAAAAGGAAGGAAAAATTGAAATAGTTCCAAAGCTGCATAATACTGAAATGAGAAAAATTTTAAAATGTGTGTACACGCTGGCTGTCTTTAAAGAAATGCATTAAAGAATGCAAAAGTAATGGAAGAACTTTCAGAAGAAGACAAAAATAGGTTTTATCTTTATGTTAGAAGTTACTTCCGTCGAATATGCGATCACATACTACATAAATTTCCAGTCAACGATGAAAGTGATTTTGCATGCTAAAGTTGCTGATGTTTCTGCTCTAGCAAATGCATCTTTTTCTCATACAAGGTACTTTTTGGACAGATTTCCTGTGTTACTTCATTTAGTCATGAAAGATGATGATATTGATGTTGCCACTGATAAATATTGCAATCGCAGTTTTGCAGTTTACAATTAGAAAACTTGGATGAAGTATAAAATCAGCTAGGATTGACACCCAGTGGAGTTTAATTGGAAAACTGAAAGGTGCTGATGGAATTTTAAAATCTAGTGAACTGTCTAGAATTATGTTGGCCATCTTGAGAGTTCTCCATAGTAATGCAGAGTGTGAGAGGAGTTTCAGTGTTGTTGTGAAAACGAGGACTAAATTTAGATCTAATATTAGTGATGACACATTAGAAAAACTTTTATTAGTGAAAGCAGGCCTACGTGGCAATTGCTATGAACAGAATTATGAAGTTTCTTTCTGAATGAAAGCAAAATCTGCCACTGTTCATAACATTTGTACGAAAACTGATTAAAGTGTCTTTTTTTTTTTTTTTTTCTTTCTTAAACGATGCAAGTAATAAAAATGTTTTTTATGTGTAAGGTATTTTCGTGTTGCTTGTATTTAAGAATTAGAATAGTTAAAGTTAATTCATTATTAAAAACTATATTTTTATCATTTAAAAAGTCTTTTCAACATTGTGAAAAATCTCCTTATTTTTGAGTGTCCTAGGTTGGCAAGTATGTATTAGTGTATGTGAATGAACAGAAGTATTAATATGGATATCATTTGTATTTATAAAGGATATAAGCCAAAGAACTTGCATACAGTTAAATGATTTGCTTTTTGCAATCTAAGCCTTTTACCTAGAAAAGTTATTTCATCTGAAATCCCCTTAACACATATTTTATTTCTAACCACTAAAAGATTATTTAATTTTTGTGAAAACCATGCCTCCCAATGGCCAAACACTTACTGATTTAGCATTCATCAGGTATGGTCAAATTTATTGGTCATTTAGCCTTGCCTTCACTGAAATTGTTGCCTAGGCTGCATCACAAGGGGGGCCATTATTACGTCTCTGAAGAAAGAAAAAGAAATACAATACAGGAGTCAAACCCACACACTTCAGTTCAGAGTAACACTCAGCTTCACTAACTCCTATTTTGTCCAGGGCTTTGTAGCTTTTTTTCCCCCCTCCTTCTTTTCTTTTTTAAATATTTTAAGAACTTTGAATAAGATTCTAGATAAAAACATGTTATAGAAATTATATTCAAGTTAGCATTAATATCTATTTTTTTATAAGATATAAGCTCTTTTTTTTCGGGGGGGGGGGCATGTTTAATATTTAGTGTGTAACGTTTTTAGACTGCCATCATTAACAGCAATATCAAAGCAGTTCTTTGCTTTTCTAGCATCACCAAATTGGGTCACTTGTTTGTTGAAGTTGTTTAAGGATTTGGTTGTGTGTGCAAAAAGTAAAATTCTTATGTACGAGGCGTATTCGGAAACTAAGTACCGTTTTGGGGGGGGGGAATAGTAAAACAATTTTTTCGAATCCAATTTTATTTTTACATGAAAATACATGTCTTAAACTATTTTTCAACATAGTTTCCTCCAATGATCAAACACTTGTCACAGCGGGTGACCAGTTTTTGTATACCATCGTCAAAGAAACTTCCCGCCAGTTTTGATAACCACGACTCCACAACATTTTTCGTGTCATCGTCATATCCAAAGCACTTGCCACCAAGCTCGCGCTTCATGTGCAGGAACAAGTGATAGTCGGACGGTGGCAAGTCCGGGCTGTACGGCGGGTGATCGAACTGCTCCCAATGAAACTGTCGAATTAACGATTGAGTGACACCAGCAGTATGGGGCCACGCATTGTTATGGAGCAACACATTTCCTTTACTGAGCATTCCTCTTCGTTTGTTTTGAATGACACGCCTTAGTTTTGTTAAAGTCTCACAATATCGTGCCGCACTAATGGTTTCATCTCTGGGAAGAAATTCAGTAAGCAAAACACCTTTCCTATCCCAGAAGACAATGCACATGATTTTCTGTGATGACATTGTCACTTTGAACTTTTGTTTTTTCGGAGAATGAGTGTGTCTCCACTTCATCTATTGTTGTTTCGATTCTGGTGTGAAATGACACACCCTTCATCACCTGTCACAATTTGGTTTAAAAAGTTTTCTCCCTCATCACTGTACCGCGTGAGAAATGTCAGGGCATTACCAAGTCGCTTTGTTTTGTGAACATCAGTGAGCATTTTTGGAACCCATCGGGAACACAGTTTGCGATAATTCAAGCGGTCAGACACAATTTCGAACAAAACAGTACGTGAAATTTGTGGAAATGCCTCTGAAAGAGTTGTCATTGTTAAGCATTTGTTCTCATGAATTGCTTCATCAACTTTCCTTACCAAATCATCGGTGACAATAGAAGGCCGACCACTCCGAGCCTCGGCGTGGACATTTGTTCGACCTGCATTAAACATTCTTACCCACTTTCTCACCATTCCATCACTTAGCACGTATTTACCGTAAACTTCTGTCACTTGACGATAAATTTCGGCCCGGTTTAACATTCCTCGCGTTCAAAAATTTAATCACGCCACGAATCTCACAGTCAGCGGGAGAACTAATTGTCTTAAACATTTTGAATGTGCACAGCAAACTGAAAACACAACATAGAGCAACCAAAATGGCGACAATTGAAAGTCAGTGAACAAGAAAGACTAGTGCACATGCGCGGGACACCTACCACAGCGCTGCGCGACGGCGCTAGAATGAAACGTTCTTAGTTTCCGAATACGCTACGTACCTTCCAGAAAATGTCTATAGAATTATTTTATCAAGGAAATGTGATAGGTATGAGATTTTTTAATTTCATATGGTGCAATATATGTTGTAAAATATTTGTGTTTAAAAAAAAAGACCACTTAGGGACAGCATAAACTGCATTGGGAGGGAGAAGGGAAAGAAAGCTCTTTAGAGACAAAGGACTGAACAGTTATTAATGCAGTACCTATTTTTAGCCTTTTTTTACTGGAGCACAATCTGCTGCTGATTTTTTCTGATCACATTGTTCCTTTATTTCAAAATAATGAAAGTCCTAAGAAATATATTTCCCTGCATACTTCCACCCCCAGTTTTTTAGGCCAAGTTTTGAAAAATTAAAAAATATCATCGTCATTTTCTCCTTCCTCTATTCTACATAGTTTTTATATCTGAGGGTTAGTTTATTTGTAAATTGTATTTCCTTGATTATTTTTCTTTTTCTTTGGTGTATTCAATTTTTATTTGCATT